GTTCACCAGTGGCAGCTGCCTCCCTGAGCAAGAAATCAAACCTGGCCACAACACAAGAACTGCTCAGGAACAGAGCCGGGGTGTCAAATCCAAATCAAACTGAGCAAACAAGCCTGATCCTTGGAGACCCCACCCTACAACCCCCTGGACCAAAAGCATCTGCTGCCGACCTCCCAGTGCACCCACAGGACACCCCTAGAGGTCCGATGTCCATGGCGTGATGGGCTGACAGCTGTTTTTGAGGCACAAGGGGGAACCTCCATGATATTTGACATGTGGTCTTGGGTATGTATAATGAGGATCCACCCCCAAGTTTAGACCAGGACTGATGGAGCTAAACCAGCAGGTACCTCCAGAGGCTTCAGCAGTGAGACCTCCTGTGTTGGCTGCAAACCACTGAACATCCAAAGATAAAGTGAAACGACGATGGTCTCTTAACAGGCAACAGAAACAGATGTTATCAGTGAGTCAGGTGTTTGTGGACCAAGTTCCTCTACCTGTGTGACCACCTGTTGTCACTTCACATTCACTGTTTTTCCAAGAGTTCGATGAGAAGAATTAGGATGAAATCTGCAGTGAAAAGTTTGATTTAATTCAAGCACATTGAAACTTTCAGGGTTTGTTCATGCTGCCGGTTGATCCGTGTATATTTAGTCGTGCACAATAATGTGGTTTCAGTGACATTATATGACCCACAACTTAAACTGTTGTGTCAGTGGTGTTACAGATGAACGCTTTTGATGGTGTCTGACGTGATAATGTTTAATCACATGTTTAAAATCGATTCCACGGTGAATATTGGACTGAAGCTTGACTTTAAATATAAAACCTATCGGTCGGTTCGTGGCAGCAGCAGGTCGTTCCAGATGTCCCTCTCACCAGCAAATAACGTTTTCAAGCTCCTTGTGAAGAATCACAATTATATATTTTCCCTAAACCATTCAGCTCTACTTCTGGCCGGACCAGGCGAGCTGTTTCCATCTGTTTGTTCATCTTTAGATGGAGCTCCAGTGAGCATCTCAGAGCTGTATCTTTATATTTAATTAGCAAATATAAGAGTGCTACTGTTCTCCTCAACATCTCATAAGTGTAATTTCCCAAAATATCAAACTACTGCTTTGACATAGTTTTGGGTTTTTTATTTTCCTAAAAACATCTCAGTTGCTTCTTTCACTAATTGCTGCTCATAAAACCAGGCTACAACTCAGCTCACGAGGTCATTATATCTTTGCTACCATGTCAGTAGGACCTCCTCCATGCTGTAATGTACTCACGGTGTGCAGTATGTGGGACGTACACCGAGTGCTGTTTGAGGAAGCTCAGGTGCTGATGGAGGAGGACAGTCCAAGAACTTTCTGCTCTGCACCTTATTTTTCAACCCACGCAAACTTTGCACATCTGCTGAGCTCGGTGTGACACCTGTAGGGACCGGCACCAGGTACCAGGGAGCCCAGACACTGGCTGTGTGTTGGACTGGATGACGTAACAGAGTGTAAACACTGGGGGCCATTTGGGGAAGCTCCTGGTGAGAGACCAGGAGGAGGAGGAGGATCGGACCCGGAGGAAAGGTTGCTCAGTAAAGATCAGAGTGGGAATATTAATACCCTGACAGCTGACATCACCTCTGAATGAATCAGCCACTGATCAGGAGAGAGGAGGCTCAGCAGCACCAGACAAACCCAGATCCTGTCAGTCACCACAACAGAACTCATTAAGAGCAGCTCCACTGAGATCTCCTCAGACATGAATTAGTTTCTCATTTCAATTCCAAACTTGACTGACTGACAGGTAGTCAGACCTCAACTCTTCTTTTCATACCATGCATGGCAGCAGTAAATCCTGCACTTCTAGTTGTCTGCAGCACATTTACAAAAACCACACATTTGCATGAGTTGCAGCAGCAGCAGCTTGTCAAAGCCTGCGCGCTGCTCTTTGTTTCATTCCTGCTCTGCATACGCGCAGATGGCTTCACCTCCACCATCCATCCATCCATCCTCTCCACAGCTCCTCACACCACCACCTACCGTTCCCAGAGACGTGGTTCTCCGTCTCGCCGTGTCCAGGTTGCCTCGTGGAGACACTAAGTTGCAGGTAGAGTCCCAGGTAATGTAAAGTCCCCAGCAGCAGCAGCCTGAACGCTCCCATCTCTCTTCTGGTTTGTCTTGCCCTCCTTTTTTCTCTCCTCTTTATTTTTTTTTCACATCAGGTGGAGTGCACGTCGGGAAAGATGTATTTTTAATTTATTTGTTCTTTGTTTAAAATCCAGCTGACTTGTTTCGTGAGGCACCTGCAGGACCCGAGCAGACGGAGCAGTCGCCGCCGCAGCCTCCCTCAGACTGAGCCGGACGGAGCGCTGCTGTCATCAGCGCTCTACATGCGGCGGAGGGACACGATGGGAGGAGCCGCGGCTCGGAGGGGAATATCAATGACCGGGAGAAGGATGCTGAAGCAGAGGCTGAGAGTCAACAAGAAGATGCGCTTCATGAGGCTGCAGAACAAAACAAGGGTAAAAATCCCGATACTGCAGCTTTATTATCTTTCCAATAATATGAACTAAATACTGACAGCGTTCATCCATCTGACTGAGTTTAATCTGCCATCAACAGGCTG